TATGCCTCCATCTTGCTGGAAGTCCCTTTTTTCGCATCATTCTTAATAAGTTAATACTGTTCATGGTCCCTTAGGCTTTCTTTATCTAGTATCTTTTTCTGTTCCAGGATCTGATTGGAGTTACCACATTGTAGTTAGGCATTAAAGTGTAATTTTGACATGAATCAGACTATACATTCAGTGTATCATTGCATTGCAACAAGCTACACTTAAAATGTTTGTTTCATATTAAATGTTCTCTTTTCTTTAAACATCAAAAAGCAATAAGGAGCTAATAAATCACCACTGCCTAAGCGATGCTACCAAATGTTTGAGGTTTCTAGTACCTTTACATTGTCTCCCTGGGTGTGTTCACAGTGAAAATCAACCACATCCAGTGGAAAATCAAGCTAGAGTACCATAAACTGGACACTCTTGATGGTCACATCATGTGACATTAGGAGCATGCCTTTTAGGGTTTTGCCAAAATGAAGGACATGCAGTTTGCTCTAGGCGGTAGCCTCATTTTCAGAAGAAAATAATTAAGTCTTGAGGAGTTGGGGCAGATGAGGCTGCTTTCAGACTCTTCTCTTTTCACGTATTCCCCTGTATCCAGTCAGGTGTCTGGGGCTTGAGTATCAGCACCATCTAAACCCAAAGCACTCAGACTGGCTGAATAGGAGATGCTACAACCTGTTAGACCAGTCACCCACTTGAGCAGGTTGGCAATGATTTCCTAAGCTGGTCATGGGGTTAAGAAGGTGGAGTGAGGTCATTTGGTCAGCCCGAATGACATGCAGAAGAGCATGCCAGTTAGAGAGAAAGTAGATGATAGGAGTGTCCATGCTGTGTCCATTTTGGTTGCCCCTGTACTGATGAAATACTTCCCTGACTCTCCATGCTGCAAGTCACGTGTCCTCGGCAGCAGGAATGCAGACATGGCCAGTGTCTGCACCAAGTGGGCCTCTGGACCGATACACCTGGGTACCCTAGCTTTTTTCATGATTCTCTCTAACATCTTCTAGTCATGCCTGAGTCTTGCATCGCCCTCCACATCCTGTCTTACCTGAGGAGCCAGAGCCCCCTACAGTGTGTGGTGGTGGTGGTGTGGTGGTGGTGGAACCTGCTGGTGTAACACTGAGCGGGGCCTCCTTTGCCTATCTAGTACAGCCTGCTTCTAGCTAGACTTCATTTTATTTTATGCTGCTACCAACATGAAATTTTTAAAATGTAATCATAAAATTGATGTTTGTTCGAAAGGCCACATATTATATGGTTTCGTCTATATAAAATGTCCACCATAAATAAATCTATGGAAATAGAAAGCAGATTAGTGGTTACAGGGCCTGGAGGAGGCGACAGTGAGGGGATGGTAATGGGATCAAGGTTTCTTTTTGAGGGTAATGAAATATTCCAGAATTACCTAGTGGAAATGGTTGCCAACCTTGTGGATATACTAAAAATCACTGGATCATAGATTGTAAAATAGCGAATTGCATGGTATTTGAATTGTGTCATTTCAAATTTTGATGCTTGCCCCAGCAGGTGTGGCTCAATTGGTTGGTTTTCATCCCGCAAACCAAAAGGTTGCTGGTTCGATCCCCAGTCAGGGCACATGCCTGGGTTGCAGGTTCAGTCCCCAGGTGAGGCACATATAGAAGGCAGCCAATAGATGTTTCTTTCCCTGTCTTTCTCCCTCCCTCCCCCTCTCTCTAAAATTAAAAAAAAATTTTTTTTTGATGTGTATTCATTGCAGAGATGCTTAAAACTAAAATAAGAGATTTAAATTACCTGTACAATTCAAGGTAACTAATAATGACATCTTGATGTATGTGTGGCAGTTTTTGTTTTTGTTCTGTGTTTATTTTTTCTTTGGATTTTTTTCAGTCTCTTTTAGGGTTCCAGCCCTGTTGGAATCTGCAGAAACACTGGACCCTGTTCCCACACGTGCCCTTTCCCCAGACACACACATACCTGTTACATTACGCTTACAGATTTTAGGAGGCGTAGTATCTTGAGTGAGGGAGACCATTTTGTGCCTATATATAGTGACACTTCTAAAATTTCAGAATATAAACGATGTCCTTAATTCTCAGGAAGCCACACCAGGGCCTGGTTTTGTTAGAAGTTAAGGTCTCAGTTCTAAGGACCGTGGCAAGTGGACATCCTAGATGTATTCACATATTGGGCTTGTGAAGGAAATGCACTGGGCCTCTTCCTTTGGATGCTTTCACATCTAAGTCTCAAAGCTGGGGGGCAGTTGGGGAGATTTGCTTTGCTGTCAGTTTAGTGGGCTACTTGAAACTTTACCCGTTTTTCTAGGTATATAGACAGGATACTTTTTTGCTCAAATACCCAAACAGATTTTACCTAGGATAATGCTTGAGGCTGGAAGAAATGAAAAATCAAATTCTAGATGCCATGTGTACTGACTGCACAGAGAAGGTTAACATTTCTAATGTCATCAGTGACTTTGCATGTCTGGGTGGGGTGACACCTCTGGCCCCTCTCACACAGGAGACTTCATGTGCATGAAAGCACAGGGTCCAGCAGAAGTGAGGACTGCTTGAGTGTGGCTGGCAGGGTAATAATATGGGTATCATAATTTACAGTTTTAATTTGAACATTTCACCTAAAATGTCGTATGGTGTGCTTGAGTGTCATATTGCTATGTTACAGAATTATATGCTTATGATTTTGTGATAAAAGATTTCATAATAAAAATGGGGTGTTACTTGTGTCAGACCCTGTACTTCAGCTCCCAACTGAAAGCTGCCTTAGAAGACCTGGGAATGTTTACTGTAGTGGAATTGGACTAATGGCGCTTATTTTTCTTGGGGATGTATATTTATTTCAATGTTTCATACCATTTGTCAATTTCTAAGCAGTTAATAATTTTATACCTCTTTCACATGTGTGTATATATTACAAGTGTGTTTGATTTTCTGTGGTCTCTGTACATTTAAACAGTGCTGAGTGATGGCATGTGTGACACGCTAATTTAAAATTTCAAACTCAAACTGCAAGCCTTTAATTGACCTGTTGACTGCCTTGCATAGCGCCTGCTTGTCTCTCGCGTGCAGCAGTCTGGATTCTACCTACGTTCCAGTGCTTGGACCACTTGCCTCCCTGAGGGTGCAGCCCTGCTGTTTGCAGAGTGCTGAGGAAGGTTAATATGAACAACAATGACTAACTCAGGAGAATAATCTCACTGCCACAGGAGAGCTGTGTGGCTTGGGGGGGCAGTTTTAGAGAATAAAGATGTCACTTCCGAATGATGAACCAGGAACGTTGTTGTGAAAAATGGCATGGGAGAGTAGCTTCCAACACGTGGGCACGTTTGAACTGGAAGTAGTAGCAACAAGGAGTCCTCTAAAACTGGATGTGAAAAGCCAGGGGGCTATTCGGAAAGTCTTCTCTGTAAGCTCTTTGGACTTGAGGCTGAATTTTAAAGGTGCTGCAGATCTCAAGCATCACTTGCATGTCCCGTGATTTAGGAACTGGTGGTGAGGAGAGGATTGGGTGAGACACCTGTGCCCTGAAGTGTAAATGAGCCACTACTTACTGAGCTAAACAGTTTGAAGAATCTCGGCTTCCTGATTCCATCTGAAAATCAACTGTGCTTCCTTTTTCAGACCTCAGCTTTTTCAAGCAAGGTCTCATTTTAAAAGGGGTCTGAAATGTCCAGGCAGTCTATTCTTGTCTCTCTTTCAGGACAGACAAGGGGGTGACCCAATATTGAATTATAATTTGCCTTTGGTAGACTTTTAAAAAAAATTGTGTAAACATACAACATAAAGTGTACTGTTTTAACCATCTTTAAGTGTACAATCAGAAGCATTAAGTACTGGGGTCCACAGTGTTGTGCAGCCATCACCATCATCCACCCGCAGAACTGAACTTTGTGCCCATTCAGCATGAGCTCCCCATTCCCTACTCCCCCAGCCCCTGGCACCCAGCTTTCTATAGTCATACACTTTTCTTTCTGCATGAGTTTGACGTCTGTAGGTTCCTCATAGAAGTGAAACCATATTCTTGCTTTGTCACCGGCTTATTCCAGCCAGCATCATGTCCTCTAGGTTCAACATGATGTAGCATATGTCAGGGTTTCCTTCCTTTTCTAAGCTGCATGATATTCCATTGTGTGTGTGTGTCTAACTCTTGAATAAGCTTTGATGCAGTAAACCCAGATCTATCCAGGAGATGTGTTGTCAGTGTCGCCCCTGACTTCACCGTCTTCCCTCCTCTCTTCAGTGTGGGGACTCAGTAAAAGCCAAGATCCCCAGTGAGTCTGAAAGGAAAAGCAAAAGAGAAAGGGACTGGGGTGGAACACAGAGAAGGGTCTATGTGAGGCCCACTTAGTTCCTAGGACATCAGTTCACACCTGCCCATCACTCCCCTGGATTTGGAGAGAGGGCCATGTATTCCTAGTTGAGCGAACCAGATCTATTTGCCCTTGGTGTTTATGAGTTGGGGGTGGGCGCTCCCACTAACACACAGTCTCCAAGGGGTGGAGTAAAAATTGCAGCAAAGATGAGAACTTCTGTCTTTACAGTTGTGAGTAGATTTGTCCTTGGGCACTGGCTGCAAGTGGGTCTGGGGATGAGGAGGGGAGTGACTTGCTTAAGAAATTCTTTAGTTCTGAATGTATTCAGATTTACTGGGGACTGTGTCTGGAGAGCAACCTGCTGACTCTTCTATGGAAGTACTTTGGCAGCCAGTGTTTTGACTCTTTGCCTTCCCAGAATGATGCTCGGGGCTTCAGTGACTTGCTTCATCTGCCTCTGCTGCAAAGCATTTCATTTTGCCATGCTTAGGGTAAACATAAGACCTGGGTTTACTGTTGCATCAAATCCAATGCTACAAAAGCCTCCTAGCAGTTACCATAATGCCTTTTCCCTCTAGGTTCTCTATAAACAGAGCACGGTCTTGCTAGAACATGACTGCATTTGTATGAGAAGCAAAGTAAAGGTTCCTGAAGTAAAAATTCATTAACACGTGTGCTATGCTCCCTTGTCCAGGAGATTCAGAGGTTCTGGATCTGAATGACCCTTTGGGACAGCTGGATGGACCCGACAGCGCTATTCCAACTCTGAAAGGTAAATGGGAAGTGCTCTTTTCACGTGAGTCTTTGGCCATGTTTTCAGTGCTACATAGAGACTCATAGTGGTTTGCCATTTCTGCTCAAAGCTTGGCCTTCTGGCACTAATCGCTGGGGTGCCCTGTAGCCTGGCACTGCCCCATGGATGGGCATGGTGGCATGCCAAACTCCATAGCTGCCTGGAGACGCACGGAAGGTTGGGGAGGGCTACTTGGAGGTGACAGGTCGGGGTAGGTAAATGGGCACTGGAGGGAGGGAGGGGCCATAGGGAGTGTGGGCCTGAATAGAGCTTTAGGAGGTGGACTCCTGGCTTGGCCACTGAATCTCCTGCTGACAAGTGGCTCTCTTCTGGGATCATTCCCGATGTGATTGTCCAGAGTGGGAAGTTGTCTCAGGTGGGCAGGCTGCTCTTCTCCACAGGGTCCTCAAGGAGTAGGTTCTTTGTCTTGTTGACACAGCCTTTTCCAGAGGTTTTAGCATCACTGCTCACTTGGCAGACTCTGTAGGCACCTTAGATTTATAGAATCGATGGAACATATTTCCTGCCTCACAGCCCAGTTACTCTAGGAAGTGGTGCTGTTCTTTCTTCATCCACTGTCGCCCTGTTGCCTCAGATCCCTGTCTCAGTCAGCTTGGGTGCTATAACAAAATACCACACATGGGGCAGCTCAGTCCGCAGGAGTCTTTTTCTCACACCTCAGGAGGCTGAAAGTCCAGAATCAAGGGGTCATATGGTCAGTCCTGTTGAGAGCTCTTTGTGGCTTGCAGGCGGCACTGTGTCCTCCCCGGAGAGAGAGCTCTGGTCTCTTCCTCTTTCTATGAGGACACTGTTTCCTACACAGAGCCACACCCTCAGAACCCCATCTAATCCTAATCACCTCCCAAAGGCCCCACCCCCAAAAGCCAGCCCATTGAGGGTTAGGGCTTTAACATTTAAATTTGGGGGACACACAACATAATTTATAAGTTACTGATCAGAACAGCCACTTTATTTCTGGTTGTTTTTTTGTTGTTGTTTTGTTTTGTTTTTTACTTTAGCATGATTTGAAACCCAGAAATCCATAGTAGTTTCATAGCCCTCTGCACATCGATGCTGTCTGCCCCCTTAGGACTTGTGTCTACGTCTGGGTCTTCTGGGGACTGAGCAGAGATGACTCAGGTCCACCAGGCTACGCCAAGGTATCCAGAGTATCCCTTTTTGTGGTCTTTGTGATCAAAACACTTGTGGTCTCTGCCTTGTGGAGCTTAAGGGCCTGAAGAGTTGGTGTCATAAGGGAAAACGTTCAGGTTACACAATTAGGAATTATGGTAAGGAGCCCAAGGAAGAGAGGAGGTCATGTTGAGCTTGAAGGAAAAGGAGGGGCATCTTGGTTTGGGGAACAGGATGTTGCACTGAGATCTATAGAGCTGACATGTCCTAAGAGGTGATGGTGGGGATGTATCCCAAGGCAAGGCCCTGCAAAAGCCCCGAGGCCAAGAGAGCTCAGTGTCTTGGGGCAGCTGAGAGAGGTAGGGGCTTCTGGGCTGGGGTGGCTGAGGTCAGAGAGCTTGGCTGGGTGGCTTGATACTGCAGCCATCAGCCATGCATACGTCTTCCAGTTTGAATCAACTAAAATTAAGTAAAATGAAGAATCCAGTTCCTTAGTCCTACTAACTACATTTCAAGTGCTCAATGGCTTGCACAGACCTAGAACATTCCACCATCACAGAAAGATCAGCCAAGCCCCTCTAGGTAGAGCATGCATGACCCATTGGATGACAGGAGAAAGTTTTTTCATCACAAGTGCCTTCCCCCCATGGAAGGTTCTGACCTGGGATGTGGTGTAACCTGATTCACACTCTGAAGCTTGTTGGACAGCTCTGGAGGATGATGGTAGGGAAGTGGAGGGACAGTTGGTACGGAAGAGAGTCTGGGTGAAGAGATGTAGAGAAACCACAATACTGATCTAAAACCCAATCTGTGGTCATTCTGTGGACTTTCCGCTCCCTTAGTAAAGCATGCTGGCTCCCCCATTAGAGTGTGGACCTCCTTGTGAGCCTGGACTAGGGGTCATGGGGCAGGGAGGAGCTGGGAGTGGGGGGAGCAGCACCCTAGCCATCACCGTTTCCTGCCTAGAGGGCTTACAGCTGGAAGAGCATCTGCTGATCAAGGGGCAGAGATGCCTGTGGGCTGAACATTCATGGACATATGTATTCTCATACATATGCATATCTAGCCACAGGCTGCAAACATTGATGAGTCAGAGTCAGTGCCTCAGATGGCTCTTGGACCACCTTTTTGATATTTGAGCAGTGCTCTGTAATGCCCTCTACTTAGTTGGGATTTGATGGCTTCCTGACTGGCTAACCCACATGTGACTGTGTTAAAGCCTGTGCCTGTGTCATTATGCAGGGAGTTTTAGGTAAGGTTTGGAAGCTTGCACTTCTCCAAGGCATAGGAATGTCAAGTGCAGAGGATAACTGGTCAAGAGGCTGTGTGTGTGTGTGTGTGTGTGTGTGTGTGTGTGTAGACACACACTTGTAAAAGGGCAGTACACCAAGTCCTAGAAGAATGTTGTTTCATTCAATGTCATTTCATTATAACTGATGAGATGCCATAGGAGCATACTTTTGTTTTTATTAGTCACATATTTTATGATGAAATTGGTTTCATTCTATATTGTTTTGCTGAAAGTCACAGAACTTATGAGGACTTACTGTACAGAAGGAGCAGAGAGCCTGAGAGGGCGGGCCTTGTCGTCATGGTGGCACATGGGGCAGTGTGGTTTGTGAGTGCCATAGTCTTGGCTTGACCTTGGCTTGGCCAGAAAACAAACCTGGATTGGATGGCAGCTCCATCCTCCTGTTACGGCAAGAGCACTGCTCTGGGCCTCAAGTCACCCCAGCCACCAGAGGGAGGAAATGGCCCAGGGGACAGTACTTAACCCAGGAAGCAGTGGCTGGATGTTGATGTCATTTGTTGTGATCATTTGCAGTTATGATCGTTGGCTGTGTGTGCATCACTTTTCAGGCATGGACACCTCGGTATCCTCTCTGGGATGGAATTCCAATGAGCAGTCCTCAGGGGCCCCAAGGGACCTGTTACATCCTGTGCAGCCCAGTGTTCTGGTTCTGTAGTACAGTTTACTTCCTTTTGGGTAAAGTTTCTTGCACAAAAGGGGGCTCCCTCTCGCTGCCCGCCCCCCATCCTCAGTGACAGAGGAACTGGCTTGGCAGTGCCAAAGCCACTATTCCATGTGCTTTTTTGCTTAAAGAGCTTCTGAGAGTGTTGCTGCCTGGCTATGATTGGCTTAAATCACATATAAAAAGTACTACAAGCTGAATGAATGGTATGAGTTATCTCTTTAATCCAGTAACTGTTTACAGTTCCTTCATATCTGTGAAATCGCAGACTGGTGAAAGTGGCCAGCGGGCCAGGCCCTCAGTGACACCACCGCTCCGTCTGAGCAGAACGGGATCTGAGAACTAGTTAGATGTGTAAAAAGCATTTGTCTTCAGATGCACTCTGCCAGTATCGAGCACTTAACATGGTATTGGTGGTTGGTATTTAGAGAGACACCCCAGGGCAAAATGCCTATCTAGAAGAGAAAGCGAACAGAAAAGACGTTGTAGTTTAGAACTAAAGAGTTTGCTTGAGTTTCCGTGTGCCAGAATGCTGCCATCATTGGGACTGGTTGTAGTGCTGTGTCACCAAGGGACTGGTTACAGCAACAGTTTGGTTCCTTGCTACATTAGATACATTAGTTTATTGATATTATTACAGAAGTGTACATTTAGCCTAGAAATCATTTGCTTATCTGTTCAAAGGCCATACTTTCAATGTATATGCCACATATCTCAGATTTTGTAAAATCAGTGCTGTGGAGTATCTGTGGAAGCACATCATCTCTGAGAGGTCAGTGGAGCACTATCCATCCTGCAGCCCCCACAGCAGACCCAGCATGCTGCCTCTCTTGCCAAAGCAGAGAGTTGGCTGCTCAGCATCCCCCTGAAACCAGGAGGGGAGTTCCTAACCATCCTTACTGGAGGAGGGCACATTGCAGTGATAGGTGATTTCAAAAGCATTCTGAATGATGGGGCAGGAACTGATGCCCTCTCACCATTCTGTGCTCTGGAGCTGAACTAAAATTTCCATGGACAGAGAAAACAAAGCAATCAATAGAGGTCATTGTGTTGGCATGGAAATGAAGCCTGTTCTCTGGCTACTTAGTTTTCATTCCCAATTCATGTAGGATGTATGGATTGATCAGTATATCTGGTTTATTATGGAACTTTTGGGGTATGTGCATGTATGTGTGTGTTTCCTGAAGTTTAGTACAGAGTGAGGGTCTCCATGCATGGCTGATGGTATAAAATTGAAACACTCTAAAATTGAAGCACTCTAAATTGCAGACACAGCTTTATGTCTGTAACTGGGAACGTGGACCTGGGCTGAGCTGTGAGCCTGAGCCCCTGCACCTCCCCACTGAGTGTCCCCTGGTCCATCATTGAAACTTGGGATAGTGGTAGAAGGTCTAAAATTTCTCCAGCTTCCTGTGCCAGAGTCACATTTCCAGGCTCTCCATCTGGGCCACTCTGGAGGTGAAGGCCATTTGGTTTAGCACCTCTGACCTCCTGTTGGCTGTGCATTTTATTTTTCAGGGCCCATTGGGTTGTCCTAGATGTGGTAAACTGAATGGTGTTGGTAGAAAGTCCCAACCCACAGGTCAGAGGTTTCAAAGCACACACAGCAGTGTGTGCAGGGCTCAGACTGTGGTCAGGTCCTGGGACATGTGCATGTGAGCACTCCTGTGGACAGTGGGAGTACACCCGGCTGTTTTTCACCTCCAAGCCTTCCTCTTTATCTCATCTTCTTCCCAGGGTCTTCCATGTCCCCCCCTCTCTCCCCAAGTAGTTCTGCTACTGATGCTGCAGCTGGGATTGAATCATGGCAAGCGACACCACCGTCATCTGGCTGGTACCATTGATCTCTGCCCTTCCTACTGCAGTGACAGAGAT